AGAGAGAGAGAATCACATCTTGTGTACTTGGAGGGATCCTGAGAATTTGGCATTTGTATTACAGACCATGCATGGGCTTCTCCAGACTTCCATCAACCTCCCCAACCTCCTGACCTCTTGCATATAATCATTTGGGCCCATGCATGCAAGTTAGATGACAGTTCAATCATACAGCTTACTCCCCCACTCAACTTAAAAATAATGGTAATGGTATTCAGAAGGTAGAAAGGAAACTTAATGAAATTTAGGAAAAAGATTGGTGGGGGTAGGGGAGTGCTCTGGGCTACCAGAGAGGAGTAATTGGCTCCTGTGACTATGGGCAAGAACATCACTGCACACCTTCCTGCGAGGAGGGAATTTGGCCTGATGTCTCATTAAAAATTCAAGCCTGGTATCACAGAGCTAGAGAATACAGTAGACATGTCAATTACATTTGATTGAGAGGAGACAGTGAAACCATGACTTACCCTTTCTCTATTCTTTTGGATTGTTTTCTTTGTACATTGTTTCTTGACTTTGCTGGCATTGTTTCATTCAGTCTTGTATTTTGCTGCCATCACAAAGTGAACATAATGGTTGTAGACAGATGTCATGAGAGAGAGTGAATTGGAATGTTTGAGATTAACATTCATGTAATTGTAGGTCCCAATGGCTAAGAGCTGGCAGAAGATGTTGAGAGCAGTGATTCGGCATGCTGAGTTATAGAGAGAGTCAGGTGCATCATTGAGGTCAGGACCCCAAGCTCGGATTCCAACCTTGGCCAGAATTCCACTGATATAAAGAATCAATATTTCATCAATGTGGCCTAGGCCACAAGCTATTTTATGACCACCAGTGCGCAATTCCTTTAAAGACATTATTGAATCTTGAGCAATTAAATTGGTACTTGCAGGATTGTTGACAACTGATTCGACTTCACCACCAGCAAAAATTACTCGGACAAGGCTGTCCGAGGTGTTCTCGGACAGTGAAGTCCGAGTTGATCTCAGACTGTGGTTGACCGAGATTTTCTCATCTCAGTCAGCGGTAGTCCGAGCACACCGAGATGAGAAAATCTCGGTCAACCATGGTCCGAGATCAACTCGGACTTCACTGTCCGAGAACACCTTGGACAGCCTTGTCCGAGTAATTTTTGCTGGCGGTGCTTCCTCACTACTGTTGAACTGAGTGTAGAATTCTTTCAAAAGGGCTGCATCAGTGGTAGGTGGTACATCGCTTGGCTTGTAGAGACCCCACATCATCTTAATGTGAATGTATAGTGCTTCCTAGAAATGATTGAGGGAATAGGGGAAATCAAAATCACAAAAAAAGAGGGTGGAAAAGCATAGAGAAGATTGAAGGTTAAATTTCATACCTTGCAAGACTTGAAGTCTTTTGGAGTGTCATCAATCAGCACCTGTAGCGGATGATGTTTATGAGTGGGGGTTGGTGTCTTGGGTGTCTTGGGTGTCTTTGGAGACTTCAAGGCTATGATGGTCGGAGAGCTCGTCTTGTGGGTTCATGGAGTATCATGGGAACCAGGAGTTGCATGAGTATTGGCCTGAGCTGAAGATGTTGCCTTTTGTTGCTTCTCTTTGGTATGGGCTGGTTTCTTAATCACTGCCAAGATATTTGTATTGGATAGGCCTATCCGATGTTCTATCACCCCAAGATATGCGATGCAGTGTCAGTAGGATTAGGTGCGATGGAATTACTATCGGTATCTAATGCTCTGACACCATATTGCAGTGTAATTCCATTGCACCTAATCCTACTGACACTGCATCGCATATCTCGGGGTGATAGAACATCAGATAGGCCCATCCAATATAAATATCTTGGCAGTGAATGTTGAGAGAGGAGATCTGATTTTGAAGGTCGCTGATGATTGTCTCAAATTGAGATGCTTGTTGCTTGAGAGCATTGGCAACAATCTCGGAAATGTTGACAGATTGAGCAGTAGATGTCAGCATGTCCATATTAATGTCTTTGGCAGATTGCATTTTGAGTCACGAGTAGATTATAAGAGATATGTAAATCTGAAGGTAAGAGTGTATATATTTGCGAAAGATATGCGATGGCAAGAGTGGATATAGAAAGAGCAGAGGCGAATGAATGGTCATAGAGGTGAGAATTGTCAGTGTCTTTATAGGCTTGCAAGGCGTAGATAGATCAGTGGGGAAGGACTACTGACATAGATAGGGTTCTGCTGCATGCCTAGCAGGTTGTCAACTCCTGTGACTTTAACTCCTTTGTGCCTAGCAGGTTTCCTATATTCGTCTTGCTGTGAGAGCTGGTAAAACAAGGGCATCAATTTCAGATAGCTTTGATTTCCTTCTGATGAGGAAGCCAGATGGAAGCTGCTAAAAGGGGAAATTCTGGGTGCCCATCAGGTGTATTGAGGAATGTTTTTTCCGCAGAGAAGTTGGAAGAATTGATGGAAACTGAAAAGGAAGAGGGTGAGGTTCGAAGAGAAGTTGAAAGAGTTGATGAGAATGATAAAGGAGGAGGGTTGAGGGTCGAAATGTCGCAAGCTGTTATCTATCCGCGGCCATTGTCGCAATGCAGATCCTGCAGTTGCAGGCGAATTTGGTAGTGTAGCAGACAGACACACGTGACTGTCAGACTTGCGTCCCATTGTCGCAAGTCTGTATGCGACACTTCTTTACTTGCGGTGTAAGTAGGGAGAGTGTGAAATGGGAGGGAAGGTGTTCAAATGCCCTGGATTTTGGTAAGACAGTAGTCTGACATGAGATGTATCAAGATATAAGTCCCTCTTAAACGCCTCGTCTCAGGAGGCGATCCGATTGAGTCGAAATTTCATGACTCCTAATTTCTTCCCCCTGCACAGCCTGTGATCGTCTAGTGGTTAGGACACCAGGTTTTGATTCCTGGGGATGTCCTGGTAACCTGGGTTCGACTCCCAGTCGCAGGTTTAATTTTTTCTTCTTTCTTTCTTTCTTTTTTTTTTTTTTTTCTCTCTCTCTTTGGCGAGCTTGCTGCTACTATTGACTCTCGACTTTCCAGAAATGGAAAAAAAAAAAAAAAAAAAAAAAAATCCTTTTGATCAACTTTTTGCCTAAGTAAAAATTTGTTTTTTCGTCCTGGAGGGTTTTTTTTTTTTTTTTTTTGTTTTTTTTTTTTGTAGAAGGGAATCTTGGCTAGCTTTATTGTTCCCATTTTTTTCAAGTGTAGTCAAAATTGAGGTTTAATATGAGAATATTCTTCTCTCTCTCTCTCTCTCTCTCTCTCTCTTTCTCAAGTTTGTAAGTTATCATCAACTTTAAAGGGAAGAAAAAACAAATTCGAGATTAAATTTTATAAGCTCTTGGTGTAGAACTTTACATGACATGGTGGATTCTGTTCACTCTAAAATCTAAATCATCTATATCTAACAGGAGACAGACAAGTACAATGCTTATCTATCATAAAAGGATCAAGAATCAAGCTCTGTCTGTTTGCTCTGCTGTCCAAAGTTTGCAAATGAAGTTCCTTGGGCACAAGAAGCTCCAGAGAAGGACAGGCTTCCATCTCATTGCGAGTCAAACAATACTTTGACGTTATTATTGAGCCTTCGGAGTAGCAGTGATCCGAATCCGAATTAAACAATTGTGTAGTAAGACTTCTTTCGGCGACACGGTATGAGAACCGCACAGAAAACCCCATCACGTTCAGAATGGGTCCAAGGGTATATATATTATCTTCAAATGGGCTAGTTGACTATGCTGTACAAACTGCATCTCAGATCACACAAAAACGACAAGGCAAAAACGACGTTCAACGGAACTCACGGGGGATGAATTAGGGCAGGCTGTGTAGAAAACCGGTGTAGATCTTGACCAATACAAAGGTTATGTTAAAAAGAAACTAAATGGGGATAAGAGGGGATAAATTATGTTACGTGTTTATGATTGCCAGCTGTGAAAAAGAGAAGAAAGAAAAGAAAATAACACCAAAGTCCGACTCGCTGTACATACAAAAAAAAAAAAAACTTCGCTTCGCTGGCTCCAAACGCTTTCATCCACCTCAAGCGTTTTCCCAGCCTTCGTAATGCTCCGAATCCGTATCCCAATCAACATGAAACAGGTCCACAAATCTCTCCTTCACACCTCCCACAATCGCGCTCAGTTTCGACTTGATCTTCCAAATCCACCAACTGAGCCTGAACCAACGCCCGGGCGCGCGTCCGAACCGTACATCAACCTCTTTCTTCGGTGGTCGGGCTGGTCCATTGACGTATTGGGGTAGGAGATTTTGAGAAGACCCTAGAAGAGGGGTTTGGGCGTTGAAAGACGAATTGGGCGACTACATCCAAAAAGCAAGGAAAAACGTATCAACAGGCGTATATTGCCAAATATCAGGTCTTGAAAACTCACAGAACCAGCCCAATGGTTCAGGATCCCGTGAACCGGTTTCGCAGGAGCCGCGACAGACGACGAACGAGAAACGGATTTACTGGAGCTATTACTCCCCCACCATTGAGGAAACCAACTCAAAGACTGAGCAGATGTACTAGCTGACGATGGATGAGGGGGCTGAGAAGGCCGAGGGCGATGAGGGGTAGCAGCAGCTCGTTTGAGTTTCTGGAGCCGGCGCTCGAGCTTACTACGTTCATGCTCGATAATCACGTCATGGTAACAGGACCCATCATCCGAATCTTCCTGGCTTTCATCCCCCGGGCCATGACACTCGGCTCCGTGATCGTGATCGTTATGATGGTGATGGTGAGCGGTACTCATCTTTCCCTTACGGACAGTAGAGTCATCTGACTGATAAAACCAATCGTTCCACCATGCCTTCCATCCACCCTTAGCACGTTCCGCATCGCGCTCCGCCACTTTTCGTCGTTCTCTTACTAGCGTGACTCGCTCTGGCGTGGGCCCATAGAAAGGCGCAGGCGCGCGTACGACGGGGACTCTCAAGGGTACGTAAATACTACTAGCAGGCGATGTGGACCTAGAAGCAATGGTGGATGCCACCACCGAACCGGTGACCGAGTCTGACATCGAGGGTCTTCGCAGAGACATAAGTCCAGAAGGGTATTGTGCGAGGCGCGAACACTGGACAGTGGAGTGCCAAGCCGGTGAGGCCGGCGGCGAGCGGGTTTGAGAGCGAGGCGGAGTGGTGCCATGGGGTATGCCCATACTGCTACGTGAAGTCGAGGGCTGTGATGTTGACCGATCGAAACCATTCAAGCTGCGGTGGAAAGACTCGCTTACATCCCTTGAGGGAGAAGCGGAGATCAAGCCAGAGGTGCTAGTATGCATTGAACGCCTATGGTATGGATCTACAATGTCGATCTCTGAGGACGACTTGGATGATAAGACCTTCTTCTTCGGTTTCTTGGGCTTGTACGCGAGTCCACCGGCTATTCGAACGATGTCGTGAAAATGGATCTTGCCATCATGCGTTTGTTTCATGACTTCATTTTCTGTCGTTGGGGGGTTAAGGGATGTGTTGATGGCTGGTGAGGACAGAGTAGCCAGCACTTGCGAGGAGTCTGAGATGGATCCAAAAAATACACCTTGCGCGATGTCTTCGGAACTCTGACAAGGCGCCATGGTGGTACTTGAAGAACGCCGAACACTGCAGAATAAATCTTTTGAACAAATGGGCGAGGTCGAGGTGATTACAAATGCGCTAGGAACCATATCTTTGGTCGAGTCGGTAAAAGCGACTTGAGTGCGATTGTGGATATCCACAGATCTATCGATCTGTATTTGCCTCGACAGGAGTTCCTCTTGTGCGCCGGCAAAGGGTGTGGCTAATGCAAGCAGTCCGTGGCCCTCGAAGTCAACATTCTCTTCTTCCCTTACAGAGTTTTCAACGTTTGGGTCGCGCCTGTCAGCGATTGAACGATCGGATTCATCGCTTTCTTCAAGCACACTCGTGTTTGGACGTGAGCAATCGGTACTCTGAGAATCGGATCTCAAGGATCCACCAGGAGGCCTGGTGGACCCCAAACGGACCTGTGATAGCCTATCTTCTAAAATCATTGCAATAACCGAACAGAGTTGATGAGCGGCATTGGGGCGACCAAAAAAACACTATGACCAAGGTGAACAGCTGGCACACCTAGACGATCTACATATTGCTCTGAGTCTCGCTTGAGCATCCAATCTGAGACACCGGTTTTGCGATTAGGCGGCGTAATGTGGGCGCTTGTAGTCATTGGTAAAAACGAAATATCTCAATATGAGGTCGGATTCGACGCGGGACTTGATGCCGGCTGTCTGGAATATAAGTAAAAAACAAAACCAGTCATCAGGAAATCTGGGCTTGCGGGTCCACAAGGGCCGAAGCTCATCAGACCAAGCTGCGTGAGAGTGGAGCGTTGTCAAGAAGGAAAGAAGCTAGGCGGTAGAAATTGCAGCCATGATAATCAAATTTGAAAGGGAAAGATGTTGACAGGGTAGATCGATCAGACCCAGACTGACAGAAGACCCGAGAAGGAAGCATGATGAATTTGTCACCCGACCCAGACGACACAGTAAATCGTGAGGTGATGGTCGTAGAGCAAGATTGATGGGGCGACGAGATTTGATGGCCAGGCGGTGCAGATAAGGATGAATTGGACAAACCAAAGCTAGTCAATCCCTCATTAAAAATACGATTGGTAATACGGTGGACTGTACCGAGGTAGGCAGGGCTGAGTTGATCAGTGAACTGGTTTCGGGTGCAACTTCAGGACCCAAGAGCGGGCAGAACGAAGCGCTGTCGTACCAGAGATCTTGGTAGGTGTTGAGGGTGAGGTCAAAAAATGGCCAGCATGGAACTTCGTGTATTATCGTTGGCGAGCAAGGCAGTGAGTGCTCAGTGCGTTCAAAGTGCATCCCTGAAAGTTTGACGGAAAAGTTTCCGAATGAAGCATTTCACAGATTCACACCGACCACGATACCGGACAGGACAGGTCAGGTCAGGTCAGGTCAGGTCACCTGGTGAGATCTTGCCACTTTGAATTGTTCACTTACAGCCGTTCCAGGACTTTTTTGACACCCATCTCTTGACATTCCCCAAAGTTTGACGGTCTTACATTTCATTGTCAGTAGCTTTATTTGAACTGTCCGCAAGGGCATACACACCGTGGACTGTCAGCAATCAAGGTCAATTGGTTGACTGGAAGCTGGGTTTGTAGTATCTGTTGCCTTGATTGAAGGATTTGATTATCAGCAAACCATATAAGGCTGCAGTTGGAACATGTGGGTGCCTTCCAAGGATATGACGCTGTCTGGAGCACTCTTCAAACTTGGAGTTGGTCCAATTTAAAGAGTGAGCTGTGGAAGTCTTCCGATGCTGACTCTGTCCCTAATTGAACTTATCAAAGTTCCACACGTTCATCAAGCCATTCAAAGTCAGTGAGGGACTTCGAGCACACTTGTATAAGGACTAAGGTCAGCTACTGGACTCTTGCAGGGAAACACACTTCCAGCATATTGGTATTGCATAAAGGTATGCGACTTTACATAGCATGCCTGCATGGTATGCATGCTATAGACCCAGTTTCCAACCTTGGGGAATTGGGACTTGTATTGCACCTGGGCATGCTATGTCACATAGCATGTCTCCAACCAATGCAAATATGTTGATGGTGACACCTCCATATCTCTCTATGTTTGTTTGCAACAGACAGCTCATCGCTGGACACCAGGGTAAATTTACATGCCTCATCCCTGTGGATGTTGTACACCAACTTCTTCCCAAGGAAGTTGGACCCCTCTTTCCTTAATTTTTTTTGGGAGGTTGAGGCTGACACATTATGTCACATATTCCTTGTAAATTAACTGCGAAGCCAAAACAAGACAGAAAACACAGTCTTGGGTTATGGGTTTGTTACCATAGTGACCAGTTGGCAGTGAATGGTATGGTTACTTTTGCGTCGGCCAAGCCAGTGTGAAAAAATTCAAAGCATACATTTGGATTCCAGCATCTAACTAC